ACAATAAAATGAAAATATTTTTTTATGTGATTGCATAGTTACAAAGATGCTTTGCTTTAAGAGAGTTTTTTGAAGTTTTGACATTGGAGGTTATTAAGATTATAGTTTTGTTTGCGGAAAGTAATTTTCCGAAGTATGTTTGATAAAAAAAATTAGAGATATACTATTCATTTTCTATTCGATGAATATCAACATGTGATTTATTATTAAATGATTAAACTAGCAAAGTATATCTAATATTCATACATTTAATTGATCTTATTGTTTTGTGACACATCTCGTCATATAGATCCATGATTAGTATAATCGCACGTTGTCAATGTTTACACTGGCTAAATTTTCGTGATTATATATGTTGAGATATATCGAATGGTACTTAAAAAAATATTAAATAAATAAATAATTAAAAAAAAAGTTGTTTAGTGTTTTTAATAATAATACATACAAAATATATCCTATAAATTTAATCAATCAAGCATATGATATTCATGTAGATCATATTAAAATGCATGATACACAAACATCCAATTAGCCAAATTAATTTTTAATTAATATATCACTACTTTTTTCGACATTTTAACCAAACTTTTTGCTGTAGTATATTCGTACCTACCACTTGATAATAGAAGAAAAGTACACGTAAATGGTCATTTTGCATTTTAACACCTGTGCTTTGTCACCTTTCTTTCCTTTTCAATTCCTTAATTCTACTGTGGTCGTGCTTTGTTATTCCTAAATATATAAAATATTTTAAATAAAAATGCATGAAATTTCTTGCCGGCTGCTATCGGCTGTATCAGTATTTCTTCAAGCAAATTTGGATTATTCAAAACCAAAGAATAGAGCTGTAGACAGTAAATGGGAGACCATTTCAGTCAGAGCCAACTTGTCAACCTTTGAAATTTATATACCATGTTTGGCTAAGCTCAAAAGGCTTATCTTAATTCCTAAGTAAATTTATATAGATTATAATTTCTATCAAACATATGCTTATTTTTCAAGTATGCATATTTATGAATTGCAATTGCTATTTGACCAAGGGTGAATGCCTCATTTTCAAGGAAACGAGGAGGAGGTTTCACACCAAATCGGTTAACCGTGGGAATGGGACGTTGGCTGTACGGTACGTACCAATTCCGAATTACAATAATGACTTTTACATTCTCAATAGGCTTCAAAGGAAAGGGAATTTATATGTCAATTTCATTTGTTAAAGCTGTGCGTTTATCATCTCC